ACAAAAATATAGATATATAAAATTAACAACTGGCCCCCGTGGATTTTGTTCTTCTCACATTTTTGTTACATGACTAATGAACAATATATGAAATTCATCATTTTCAACAAAAAAAAAACAAATTATAAAAAGAAATAAAAAAAGAACAAAAGAAAAGGGGAACGCAAAAGAATTATAAAATAAAAATATATGATAAGTATACAAACAGTTGTGTTTCTTATTGCTTCCATGTGGAGCAGCTGGGGCAACGGTACTTGTTTTTTTTTTTTGTTGCAACGGTTACGGGGCTAAAAAAAAATGAACTATATAGAGCATTGTATGGAATATTTTTGTTTTCAAGGAGATAACACAAATAAAAACAAAAAAAAAAAGGAAAACGTCATAGTATTAAATTTATGTGTTGCAGAAACACACAAGCAGAAACGTGGAGAAGGCAAAAAGAAAAGAACCAAAAGGAAGGAAAGTGACATAAATGGAAACAAAGGACACTCATTTTGTGCGAAGTGAACAATGCATTTATTAAATTTTAAAATAAGAATATAAGCCAAATTGGCTGAAAGAACTACGTTATTGTATTCTTCTGTACCGCGAAAAAATGGGAATGCACGAAAAGTGAAATTTCAGCGTTGTGCTGGAAATGTATATGCCCCCGAAAAAAAAAAGAACAAAACGAACAAGTTAGAAAAAACACAGCCCGGTACAATGTTAGCATGACCGTTAACTCTGTGCAAATATCCTTTTCTTTCAAGTCATTCGAATGTTACTGATTAGGAGTAGTGTGAAATGCAAAAATAGAAAGTAGTTTCCTCTCGTTTATTAGAACGTGTAGGCAACCATGTAGGGTGTAGCATATGTGTGTACATAATTACATTTTGGGCTTGAATTATTGTGAAAGGGCGAAAAAAGCACATATTGCCATTTTGCAGGTGTAGAATCTCATGATGCAAGCGAAAGCAAAAGTGAAAAATGTGACACTCTAGCTGTGTGTGTGGGTGCGGCGGTTTTTACCTAGGGCAACGGTGAAATTATGGCACACCATCTATTTTTCCATTGCGCTTAAGTTGTTACGTATGCCACTTTAACATATGCTAAAGGACTTAGGGAAAGGAAACTCCACACTCCATTTATCCATTTTGCTTCCATAGTACAATATGGTCCAGTATTTCCTGTATTGGGAAATGTTCCATGTTCACGTTATTCATTGGCTAGGCTGGGTAACTTTGTCTCGACAGGGCAGCCACAAGCTTCCCTTCCCCGTACACACATTCACTGTGTTCGTACAGCACATATGGAGGAGCATTTGATATAATATATTATCTGTGCAAATGGAACACGCTATTATTTCGTGGAAAGCTATCGCATATATTGACTTGTACAATGTGCGAGATATCCTCCCCCTTTTTGTGCATATAAAAAGGTACGTTGTAAAACCGTTTCATTTGGAAATGTGGAAGTTTGTATACGCACGAAAATAAATCATCAACGCGACAGCAAACAAGAAAGGGACAATGTGTTACATATTATAAGAATAGGCATTGTATGAATTAACTACGATGGTCATTTTGTACTATATATGTTACACATATAGGATGTACAAATATAATTAGTCGTTATATATACATACACAATAACAGAAGGACGCATCCTTTTTTTTTTCAAATGCTTTGTCCTTTGATCATGTCTATGGACAACTAATTACACAGAAACAAAACAGAACTATATATGCAACGAATATGCCTATTAGGAAAAATGTAAACCATATTATAATGTAGAAAACGGAACTATAAAGCTAAATGCTATAAAGGAAAAATCAGCCATATCATACAACATGTATGCAATATCATATGAGGGTCAATATAAGAAAATATCTAGAAGTATACTCTAACTTTGAAGTTGCCTGCCGGAAGTGGCATACAGCAAGTTACTTATGGTTTGTTACGTGCTTCCGGTTTTTCGGGTACTTCTGATGATATTTTGTCTGTCAAAATATTCTTCTTCGGCATTTTTGCCTTCGCTTTCGGTAGCAGCGGCGGAAAATCCCAAGTGAGGACATACTGAGTATACCCATTGCAGCTGCCGTGGAGGCCATGGCAAAACCAGCTATACACAAATATGTTTTCCAAGTTGCAGCCCCAGATAGAGCCGCAAATGCACCCGCAAGTACACCCCCGAGGACACTGCCAGCAGCAACCAATATTATAGTATAAACCAAAATAGCCGCAACGAAGAACTTGCAGTACCTATAAGTAATATATGCAGCCAATTGCCGTCTACTAAAGCCTCTTCCGGTTTTGATGTTAACTGCCTTATTCTGCTTGCCATGCTTTGTGCTCCCGGTTGTTCCTGTAAATTAGGCGTGTGGAATATGATTTCATGAACAGTTTATCCACAACGTGGCGTTTGTCTTTGGGGCGGAAAAAGAGGCACATACAGTTTTCGCGAAAAATTTTAATTTTCTCTCCTCGTCCTGTTTGCACATGCGTTTTACCTGTACCCGAAGATCCTTTCGGCTCCTGTTTCGTTTTTGCACTTTGTCCTTTATTTTGTAGGGAAGGCGGCAATGATGCTTGTGCACCAACCTTCGAAAGCGATGTGCTAGACTTTTCAACTGACGCGGAGACTGCTACATCGGCAGATAATGTCTCGTTGCTATCGACTTCTTCTTCCCGTGCATCATGTGTTATTTTGCACTTTCTTTCATAATGCACTTGTTGTGGTACCTGGTACTCCACCATTTTCCATGCTTTTAGTATAGTTCCATCTTCCTCTTCCTCCCATGGTGCGTCTGAATATATTCGTTTCGGGGAAAATGCATAGGCTTCTTCATAAGGTTCGTCGACATCGTCGTAGGCACCTTCGTAGGTTTCTTCATCATCGTCATAGTGTTCGAATGCCATCTGATATAATTCAAGCTCATCTTCTGATGCAATTGCTTTAATTTTTGCTAAACTGCGGGCACCTCTGGTATATACTTGTACTTGGGCCACATGTTCTTCGTGTCTGTCGAATTTATGTGGATGCTGTAGAAAGGGGAAGCGAAGAGGAGTGGTGATGAGTTGAATTAATAATAGAATGGCAATGGAGACAGGAACAAAGGGGAAGCAGTATATATGAATACAGTAGTATATATAGGATACATGTGGTATATATATAAGCAGTCATAAAACGTCCCATTCTCCACATACATCTATATGTGATCATGTAATCCTTCATACTGGGCTTACCGTTAAGAAGATGCAAGCAACAACAAAAAGCATAGCACCTATGTTGGAGCAAAGCGATCCATGCGCCCTTGTGCCATGTGTTTCACTTCCTTTCCTAGATGCGGAGACGGTTTTGCCATTTCGGGATTGCGACGCGCCTCGTGAGACACCGTTGGGTGTTGATGCTGTTTTGTTTAGGTGTACCATGTTGTTAAGTATACTTATTTAAAGCAGTAATGTACAGGGCTAGTGTGCTTTTCGCTTTTCTTTTCTTAATTACATTACATGTAGGAGGAAAGTATGCTAAGAGAAGGAAAAAAAGGAAATTAGAGAAATGAATGAACACGAAATTTTTGCTTTCACGTCAGCATATATGCGTGTGAGAAGTGTTGTGCTTCTTTTTTTTTTTGTTTTTTCTGGATTGAGCTATATAGGATCCCGTTGTAATTTACGTTTCCATACAAATTACATATACATAATTATTTCTATTGTGCGAAATGTAAAAAAAAAAAAAGAAAAGAAAAATGGGAATTAAGTCAAAATACATTATTTTACAACTTAAAATGAAATTATTCCAACAAGAACAAAAACAGCAATATACACGTAACATACATTAATTGGAGGCTGAGAAGAGGAGGGGTCATTTTAAAATTTGAATAATGTGTGGTGCTTTAGTTGTAGGGTTTTAGATGGAAAATGTTTCTTTTGAAATCGACCATTACATATATATAGGAGCATATGCACTACTTACGGCTTTATTGCCTTTTTATACGCTCCTCACTTAATGCGCTGATTCATAAAACACTAGGTGCCTTAGTCAATTGTTTGCCACGAGAATGCGCTCAAATCCTTATTTTATAACGGAGATGCAAACAAAATTTGTTGTTGCATGTATATTTTATCGCAAAAAAAAAAAAAAAAGTTTAATTCTAACTTATGAATGGATTGTGTATGGAGTATTTTTATACGTATGTAAAGGGGAAAAGTTATATGTTAGTGTCACATAATTTTCACGTATGCGTTCTGCCTCAAAACGAGTAAGAGAAGAAAAAAGAAAAAAGAAGAAAGAACGGAAATGCAAAGCAACATGCTTAGAATGACGAACCTTGTGTAAGAGAAAAAAAAAAAAAAAACAGGAGTAGGAAGTAACTTAAGCGTAGTAACACATTATGTCACTTAACGAAGGAAAGCGGATCTAGTGTTATAATGTGCTACTCCCATTCATGTGCCGCCCATCCTCCTGTTGCATATGCTGTAATGAATTATGTACATAATAACGCCTTCTCATGCAAACTGCGCTAAACCTCGCATTCTTCGATTTACCGTCACGAGGATTAGCATCCACAACGCGCACATGCGACGCATCGTCTTCCTCTTTACTACCGTCTTCGTTGAACCCTGTCCCGTCTCCGGTTTCGTTTCTGCTGATGGTTTTACCTTGGCTGCATTTGGTTTCTCCGCTACTGGTTTGGCAGGGCTGACGGTGTCGACGGGCTTGGCTGATGCTGGTTTGGCCGGGGCGGGTTTGGCCATGCCCCCCGTGTTCCCTAGTGCTGGTGTACTTGATCCGGTCGGTGCCTCTTTCCTCAGAGTGCCTTCATCCCGCGTTGCCGCTGTGTTCTTCACTTCCTTGGCCTTTTCCTTTATCTTCTTCTTTATCTCCTTCTCTATTGCACATTTCCCGCCGGGCATGCGTCCGTCCTTCATTTCCTCTAACAACTTTTTCACCCGCGGATAGAGAATACCTTCTGTCCAGTGATTTATGCTCCTCATGAGCTCATGGTCCTCCTGTAGTACGCCCTCATGCTCATTACACTTATCTTCACGTTGCTGCAGCTGCGCATCATCCTGATTTGTATTCTGGCATTCACATTTTCTGGGCGCTGGGTGGCCACGCTTTGCTTTCCCTGCCACCCATTGCTGACTCAACTGCTCTAATCGATTCTTTATGCCTGTGCCAATGCTCTTTGATTGAAATAGTATGTTCCCAAAATCTATGTTTTCGCACAATCCAGGTTCAAACTTCTGCCCGAACAAATTGTTCGGCGTTCTTAACTTTTCGGAAACCTCTGCTATAATTTGCTGATGCTCTTTATTACGTCCATATAGTCTTAATAAAACCTCACTTCCTACTATGCACTCTAAATATTCCCTAAAGGTCCTGCTCGTGGTTTCCGGTGTGGTCCTTTTTTCGCATTTTCTACTTTTCTTGTTGTAATGATATCCTTTAAGGTATAGGAGGATTCTTGTAATCTGCGCACACCTGTTATTGCATACACTATCAGCATGCGTCACATATATGCCTCCACAGAAGCTACAGATCGCAATGTTACTTTCACCAATTATCCTGATTAAGCTGTGGAAGATGTTATCAACCTGCTTCATTAAGTTTGTCTGCAAGTGGAATAATTCATACATATATGCATACTGGTCACTCAGCCTTATGCTTATATTTTATTGCATTTGCCCACACTTCATTGCGCATATGTACACTCTGTGTGGACGGCGTTTATACCCTCCACATACGCCCCCCACAACCATGATACGTATACAGGCAACGCACGAACACGCAGAGCACACTCTGCATAACGTATACATACATGGACTTGAAATATGCCATTCCTGTTGCCCTGGAACTCCGCATGCTGTGGACCTTACCCAATATCTCTGTAGGCTCCACCCCCTGCTCCGTCTCGCTATAAAATTATCCCATGCATCTATAAAATGCCTTATGTCCCTTCCATAGTCGTTACTCATATTGAACACTTTTTATTCCCTTCCTAGAAAAAGTACAGTACGACTACTACTACTACTACTACCGCGTTCATAACACAACAACAACAAAAAAAAATATACACACACCCCGTTCTCCGTCAACGCCTATCCGTCAATGCCTCTCCGGGTCACGCTTCCGGCACGTGGACACGTTGCTCGGAGTGACAATCTGTCCTCCTTACGAGGACGCGGCAACGGCGGCAGAAGCATTGATGTTGTTGTTATACTGCGGTTTAGTGTATAGGGGATACTGGTTTTTAACGGTATTGTTGTTAGAGGACGATATTTGTTGTTACGGGGGATATTTGTTGTTAAGGGCGGTTTTTGTTGTTAAGGGGGGTAGTTTTTGTTCATTGCAGGTATTTGTTGTGAAAGGGGGGGTATTTGTGGTTACGGGTTCCTCGGGTCAAGGATTTATGTTCACAGTATTGCTATTAAGGGATACAGTAAGGACGGGATAATCTCAGTATGCAGGAACTAAAGCACCTATGACGGAAATTGTAGTTCTGAGGGGTAGTGTTCAGTTAATGCACAATTTACGTGACCAAGCCAATGAATCCACATATTATGTAATCTAATTTGCGCGAGCATGGCCAAGTATTTAGATATATTATGGAAGGAATACATTGGGACGGGGGACACAGGAGTCAGTAAGAATGATAGGACTTTTCAGGTAAGTGCACATATATGAGGACTTAGAGGGAAAACCTAAATAGGAACACATGAATATATTAGGGCAGTATGCGAACGTACAGCAAGCAACATGTGCACGTTCACATTATCAGCTCCTGCAAGTTCTGTCCGAGGCACGGCGACATATATATAGAACAGGGGACAGTGTACTGACTTGAACAGTTATATATAGCAACGGTAAATAGTGAACGTAGTATAGTTCATATATGCATATATCTTGAACCATGTACCTACAGAAAAATTTCTGGGCACATGTGCACACAGTATGGCAGACGTTTAAACAACATATGGAGGACGCGAACGATGATACAATGATAGATTTAATGTGTCAGACGCGCGAGGGGTCGCCTGCAACTGGGAAGGAGCAGGCGGAAACCTTCAGTGACAGAGACAAAGCTGTGTGCTGGCTAGCACTGAAGGCATTATGTTTTAAACATGGTATTTCCCTAGGCATAAGGCACTCAGGAATACCGGGTGCACGCTCCGGGAGTATAGAACAGAAGCAGCATGACATAGAATCATACATGAGGTGTATTCTGGTAAATATATTTATGAAGAAAATAATGGGAATGAATTGTTTAAAGGGACCTGGTGGGCAGTTTGCATTCCGTCTGGCGAAAGGATTAATAAACAATATCCAGCAACAGGACGTGGGTAATATTGCTTGTGAAGAGCACGATGCTGGAACAGGAGGGGATAGAGACAAAGGGAAAAGTGCAAAGGATAGGGATTTGTGGGATATAATGACAAGGTGGTTTGATAGAAATAAGTTAAAGCTGAAGGATGGGGAGGTGGGAGTATTAGGGCATGATTGCAAAGTACAAGGACGTGGAAGAGCATCGGACGGGGAGGCCTTAAAAGAAGACATAAAGCAAGAAATTGGGGAACGGATGAAAGAGGTTGGGGAGGATTTAGGACGCAAGGTGAAGAAAATAAAACAGGAAATAGGTGTATGTAGTGATGAGAACTGTATTAAACAGTTATTAAAGACAAAGCAGCACGAAGAAACACACCAGCCCAGGATTCCTCGCACACTCTACAAGGGCCACACAGTGGACACTCACAGGCAGCGGAGACAACATCATCGGGCACATCACAAGGCACGTCACAACGCGGATATAGCGGAGCAGCACCTATTGGACGTGGCGTCGCCAACCCCGACCCTGCCAAACCAGCACCAGCCAAACCAGCAGCGGCGAAACCGTCCAATGCAGGTTCTACAGGAACATCATCAGCACCAACGACACCATCTTCTGACGCAACGACACCATCCACAGCAACAGCAGCGGAGGGTAAAACGAGTGACACGAAGCATGCCGACTCCGGGGCAGCCGTCGCACCTGCCGGCAACGATGACCCCCCTCCTCTCAATCCACCCAAACCCAAACCGGATCTGAATGGGCACTGTCAGGCGGGTGCCGAAGGCGGCTCCCCGGGTGCAACTCCTGCACCTGGTGTTTCTGGTGGGAAAGCAAAGGGAGGTGGAGGCGGCAGTGGAGGGCCCGGTGGAGGTAGTAATACAGAACATAGTAAATCCAGTTCATCCTCCAGTTCAAGTTCGTCCTCTAGTTCAAGCTCCAGTACGAACAAGGATACTGGCTTCGGATTATCATTGGCCAATTCATGGGCTACGAAGAACATAGGAGGCCACTTTGGAACAGGTCCCCCACCCGATCCACACAATACAAGCTGCACTAAACATAAGGACGATGGCCGAGATGGACCCGACTTAACGAACGACGTCCTTACCGGCACTACTCCCATCCTGTTTTTTCTCACTTCCGTCATCGTCGCCCTTCTTGGTTATTCCCTTTGGAAAGTAAGTACAGCCACAAGGCGCGCACACACACACACCACGCACGCACCAATATAACCGAGTGGAAAAATGGAACAACAACCATTGTCCTTCGCCTTTTCCTGCCACAGGCCTTACTTGTATGTTCCCAAAAGCAACTCTAACCAACATTACACTATTTGGAAGTTACTCCACAAGAAAACAAAAAAAGGATAATAACTTTTAGAACAAAGAACAAAAAAAACAAAAAAAAACCTACTACAGATTAACGTCCCTATATGCGGATACATTGTACATTGGAGGCAACGGAGTTTGGGCTCGTGCGACACAATATATTAGATACATGGTCACACAAGGGCCTTATATGTATGTAATACTAGCACAATATGCATATATTGTTGTAACTA